TTATGAGACACAAAGTTCAATATCTTCTCGTCTAACGATCCAGACAAAGCTCCCTATGCGTCATGAAGGTTCGCGCCGACCAATCCTCCATAGAGAGCTGCGCTTCAAAGTTATTAACAACCACTTGGATCCCACAAAGGGACTTCAGCATCAAAGCTGATGTACATTTCACTCGTGAGTGGTCGCGCTAACAGACGAAACAGAATTTATCTAATAGCACGATTGTACAAAATCAACTCCATTTCTCTCATCCTCTAATCTTTCATATATTTAAACATATGTTTGAAGTATATATTTAAAGTATATATTTAAAAGATATATATTTAATATACACAGTGTTTGTTGTAGATAATTTTAAAATTATCTAGATAAAGATAAAGATAAAAATCCGTAAATTTATCTTAGATAAGATAAAGATGATTTTGCTTTTACTTAATCTAGATGAAAGATGAGATAATTATTGCGATAATCTAGAAAATTATCTAGATATTTTTGTTTATTTTAGAAGATTATAAATATTTGTAAAAAATGTGACGCAAATTATAAATGGGATATTAAAATCATAAACACATATTCTTTCACGTTTCCTAAAGAATATTTAAATAATAGCAAAAAGGTATATAAATGATATGATAAATATTTATTTATTAATTTATATTTATAATATATTTATAATATATTAATAATATAATAATAATATATTTATAATATATTAATAATAATAATATAAAAAATATATTTTAGATATTTTAGATAGATTTTTAGAAGCTTGCCTGGAAAACTTTTTTGCATAATAAAAACGTCATCTTAGACAATCTTTAGATAAGATGACATATATTTTTCATCTAAGCTAAAGATAAAGATACTTTGTATTTCTTCATCTGATTAAAGATTAAGATGATCCATTTTTTATCTAGATGATTATCTAGATAATTTTATCTAGATACCAGCAAATACTGTTAATATATATTTAATATCTTCATTGACAATCTTCGTTCAGTTCATTATTTCATCACAGTTATTTTCAAGGTAAATTTTAGGATTGATAGAGACACTTTAAAAAAAAACGTTTGATACAAAAGTTTCTTATTGTTTCACGTACAATTCGAATCTGTAATAAAAAGTGTCATGTTCCCCTAAAAAAATTCAATTTCCGATCCGAATGGCGTATTTCCGGTCGGAATCAAAAATTGAAAATAGCATTTGATAGAGCGTACCTGATTTACTTAAAAATTATTCGCGATTTTTGATAAAAGCCATTTATTTTTATTTTAAAAGGGGTGTACGGGTGGTCTGGAACACTCTGTATATTTAATAAGATACCTCAAAAATACGTTCTTCTAATAACAGATTCTCTCAGCCAATTTAGAATCGATTTTTCTTTAGTAAAAATGTATTTTTTTGTAAATTTCAATGTAATTTTCAATTTCTTCCAATATTTTTATAACTAAGTTTGAAATTAAAATTCTATCACAAAGTAATCTGAAATTTACCGAAGTGTAGTTTTATTAATCTTTGGACTTTAGAGCCTAGTTCGTCGGAAGCTTTTCTTTTTTAATGGTTTACAATTTGAAAACTATTAATGCTTCGATTTTCAATTTTTCCTTAGAAAAAATCGCTAAATTAATTAGAGAATCAGTTGTTAAAAGATCATCTGATAATTTTGAGATATCTTTTGTGTATATTCACGTTTTTTAAAATATCAAGTATATTAAATTCTCTTATAAAAATTTTTATATATTATATAACTCTTTTTTTCAATTTCTTTTTATTTTTTACTTTATGCTCCCAATAATAGAGATTGGTCTCTTTGTGCGCTCATGCTGCAGAGATTTGAAACAATCGATGGATTGCAACACCCTCGAGGTTTCACCGATCAGCTTCGTTAATCTCTATCGGGGATCAGAGATCACCGCAAAGGATCGGCAGCATCAAATATCTTGTTCACCCACATCTCGTTGCATCATCAGATTTTCCAATAAAGGATAGAAATATCTCGCTTGCGTTCGCAGTTTATGGATTAAATTACTCGTAGCTAAATTTGAGATATAAATGTTGAGATATGAGCTTTAACAAAATTTAAATTCACATATAAATATAAAAAAATCCATCAAATGTTAAAATCCATCAAATTTTAAAAAAATTTTAGATGACATATAAATATTCTTATTGGAAACATAAATGCTTTTAAAAATTTCATAAAAACGTAGCACTCTCAGAATCATATGATGCATTTTTTGCGCATTTTAATTCTGTGAGAAAGTATTTTCATTCATTGGTCAACCCGGCAATTTCCAACAAAACACACTATTATGACAGACATCTGAAATAGTTGAGGAACTCAAAGAGATTTGGTTACACAAACAAAAAAGAAAATGTCGAAAACTCATTGTTCGACGAGTATTCGCAAACACGTCGCACTACACGAACCCGAAGAGAAACATATTCGCATGTGACACGCAAAAGAAAAGTTTTTCTCTACCCGTTCTTTCCGCTATTCGCTCATGTTTGATTCGAGTTTCAATGTTATTTAACTCATGTAAAACAGCAATTTTATGTTTTTTTATAAAGCAAAGTTTGCTATGGCGGATAATAACGAGGAATATACTGATGATTATATAGCTCTCTCGAGATATGTTATAAATATTACATTGATGTGGAAATTGAAATTTTGGAATAATTTGTTACATATTTGTATATATTTTTTCATAATTATGTGGTATATATCATGTTGTATAAATTTTTTCATAATTATGTAGTATATTTGTTGTATCGCTTATTGAGGATATTAAGAATGTTTTGTATGTACAATCCCAGCAAAAAGTAGCAGAAATTCAATATTGACGAATATATCCACTTTTGGTGTATTTTGAGTAAGAAATTGTGTGGAATATTACAATTTGATCTTAGTTACAGTGCAGATATGTATTTTTTAATATTTATTGCGTTTTTATTGAAATATTCCAAATTTTGTTAATCGAAATGATTAACTTTTGGCAGAGAATTTCGCCTTGTGACAGACATGGCTAACTTCATTGAATTATATTTAATATCTTTTTAACCAGTTAGTACTTGTATAATATTATTTGACCAAATATTTCCTCTGTATCTAAACTTTTTCAAATTTTAAACAAATTCTGAATATTATTTCCATGTGGTTTTGTCATTTGAATCGACGTGATTATACGTTTCCCATAAGAACAAATGTTAATTCGGTGCAAATTAAAATCCTTATAACTTGTGAGAGAGAGAGAGAACGCTTTAGTGAATCGATTTAAAAATTGTACTGAAAATTCTAAACATATGTAAGGACATTCTATACAATTTTCATTAAATTCTCAATATTTTGAAAATAGGTACAAAACATCCTTAATTGCATATTACAGAAAATAACAAGCCAGAATATAAAGATATGCCAGTTATATTAATTGAGAAGTAAAATTAATTAATTCAATGTGCAACTCATGTGCACGATGTAACGCAACAAATATCACAAAATTGTCATATGTACTCGATACTTATAAGCTTTACTTTATAAACATTTACTATCAAAAAACAACGAGAAATTTTCTAATCGATTAAATTTGATTAATAATTATTTTAATAAAAAAATTGAAAGCATGAATTATGGCGTTGTACGTTGTAAATTCAATCTGCATAATATATATATATATATATATACACTAACAATAAGTTTTTCGAATGTTATATTTTATTTACATGTACGCTAAAGTTGAATAACAAAGTATTGAATAACAAAGAATTGGATAACAAATATAACCCATGTATAATGAAATTGCGTTATAATTTTAAAATATTCATAAAGAACTTTTCTCAAAGACTTCTTCAAAAAAATGTAATGAGGTTCAACAAAACTAAATTGTCGTAAAATAACACATAAAAGTCGACTTTATATCGTAGCAAGGAAGTTTTCCGTTTCCTAAAATATCATCTACTCGCAAAATAAACCATCACTATTCTGAAAGACTCAAATACGGTGCCTCTAAGAAAAGTAAATGGAATCCATTTCCGAAGAAGAGAGTGATATTGTGGGAATCACCCATTTCTGGAGTATTTTCAAAAAGCTTCTGTTGAAATATGATCTTCCTACTAATACGCGATATCTGGAATGAAATGCACAAATCAGCTATTCAAATAATTTGCATACAAGTGTTATTATAATATCAGCAGAGAGATACAAATTTTTCTTTTGACGCGCTTTCATTTGCAATCTTGGATCGAATATAATTTTTTTCCGTGAATATCTTCACAAAAAGATCACGTACTTTTATTAAAATTCTAATTAAGAGTTTAATTAAGAAATCTTGGAAAATAAGAAATGTAATATAGGCAAGAAAGATATTCTCCTTTAATTTTTCGCGTTATAAGATTATAATTTCGCGTCACGTCCGTAATTTTTCTTCTTTGGATCGCAGATACTACGAATTGTATGCGCCTATCTAATATTTAAATTAGTATTATAAAATATGAGATAAGAGATCTCTGCTTTGACTATATAATTATGAAATATGAAAAGTTAACGCAATTTTTCTAACGAGCAACTGAAATATTGTAAAAAAAATGCGTAGAGCCGATAAAGAGTATAAGGAATTCTTGTGTTTTCTTGTAGATTTTATATCAACCCACGAGAAGGTGCACAAAGTAGACTGTCAGTCGTTAGGTAAGCACATCGATGTATATTGTATTATTCAATACAGTAACTAAGTATCATCGGACAGTGTTCCCAGGTAGATATTAGATTCCAAATGTAGACGCTCTATGTTGCACGATATCGACCGTATGTGTGTCTACTTTCGCAGTATGTTCTCGCCCTTCAAGATGATAACGCACACTTACGTCAAACGACATATTATCTTGCTATTAATTTCTATTATTCAAACAAAATTGACTTTTGAGTTGGTAAGCCGCAAATACAAAATCACAATTTAAATGCAAAATTGTCAATCACGTACAATAAGACAGGAAGATTTTGTATTTACCTCGGGCGTTAATTTCAAAGATGCGCGCTGATCCGTGTTGAATCCGACTGGCTCTCTCTCGATGCGGGTTTTCTTTCACACGTTACCGTCAAATTATTATCGTAATATCGAGGGAAAAGAAGGCCAAGACAGGAGAACGCGATCCGTACCCGCGAAAGCTCACCACGTGACTGGCGGGAATAGGTGTATCCCGCCGCTGCCGGGAAAAGCCAAACAGAAATCTCCTGCAACGCGCAGACTCGTTAACGGATGGAGTATGTCAAAATAAAACAAGACAGTGCTTTCAGATCTCTTTGTCTTAGTTGTGCTATATCTGAAGCATTCCATTTAAGTTAATTTCAAAAAAATATAGCAATATGACGAACACACACGTAACAGATATATCTTATTTCTACGAAATTAAAAAGGATGGAATCAGTTATTTTTGAGAAAACGTTACTGCAAAATTTTTATTCTTCAAGAAACACAAAAAAATATTTAACACAAATTATTATGAAGATATTTTTTTTTTTTAATTTAATTTTATGAAATATATTAAATTGTAAAAAATTATAAAAAGTGTATTAAATTTTATATATATATAAATATATGTCATTCTATCACAGAACAAATGTTGATTTTTGACCAATCGTTTTTCAAATAATTTATTTTACAAATTTGCAATAGAATAAAACTTTTTCCAAAATAAATATTTCAGATAGATTTCATACAAGATCGAAAAAAATAATAGAAACTGCAATAATTTTTTAATTTCAATTCTATAATAATCATTATGAAATTATTAAAATAATAAGAGAGAATATATTTTATTTAAATACGATATCGCAATGCTTTGATAGGCTCTATAGGCATTTAGAAAATAGAGGTAAAAAAATGAACGATTATAATTTAATTGTTATAAACATAATTTAATATTTAATTCAACAAACATATGATAAATTATTATTATTTATTAAAAATATAATTTATAGAAAGGCAAATACCAGAGAAAGAAGAAAGAATAAACTATGAATAATGAATTTCACTTTTTTACTGTGCAAAAACCTATGTGATATGTTTAATTCAATGACGTGTTAGTGAATAATGAATCACATTATTTACCGTTACTTATATCTATAATAATAGTAAGATTCACAACTTTATATTGTCGCTAAAATATATTTTCACCGAAAGAAAATTCGGTTGTGACATATAAGCAGCACAAGGAACGCAATTTTAAAATACATGAATGCAAAGTATTAAAAATGTCAAAATAATCTTAAAAATTGGAAAAACAATTACAAGTTTCAAACAGAATTTTATTAATAAAAATTCTTCTATTATATTTATATATAAATATATAAATATATATATATATATATATATATATATATTTAATTAAATTAAAGTAAGAGTCCAGACAACATATTTTCCTAAAAAATATCTAAAAAATTATTTAAAGACAACTTATCGTCCTTTAGATATCTGTAAGATGTCTTTGTGCTATCTGAAAAGTTTTTTAAAGAAAAAAAGGCTTTATATAACATATTTCTGTGTCTTTTGTCAAATAAATATTATGCAATTTTTCAAGATGTCTTAAATTTTTTGAAATATCCATATATCCACAACATTATGAAATATCAAATATACAGATTATTAAAAAACCTATTTAAAAGAAGAGGGAACTTAATAAAATTAGCGTTTTTAAAAAAAATAAAATCAAGAATGGTATTATTTAAGTAAAATTAGTAGGATGATTGATAACGTACAATTAAATATAAAATAGAATCCATTAGAGATACTTGTAGACAAGAATTTGATAGAAAGATTGAAAAATAAGAGAAATGTTAGCTAGTTGATGATTAGAGAGAATTTTTATAATATAATTAAAAATTAACTTAAAAAAAGTGTTACTCTTTTAAACATTTTTCTAATAAATCTTTTAATCTTATATTCTACTTTCTAGCAATATTTCCCTATAGCGTCTTTAGCGCATAAATTTCAGCGAAATCGGTGAAGAAGCCACTCTCCTTCACAATTTTCTGAAAAGATTAAAAATTTGTTTACGATTTTTTGAAAAAAACGGGAGATCAAACATTTTAAATACGATACCAAACAGTACTAATCAATAATCAGATTGGAAAAAAATGCTCAATAGTCAAAATGGAGGAAGGGGGGCGTTAAAGAAGATTAAAAATTTGTTTTCTGAAAAAACAAAAAACCAAAAGTTTACCAAAAGTTTTGAATATTATACCAAACATTATTAATCAATCACCAAGCTGGTGAAAAAAAATTCCCAATGATCAAAGTGGAGGAGAGGGCTAACTTTCCTAAGGAATAAAACCATCAGTCTTTAATAGTATCTCGTCGGTGCGTAAATTAGAAATTTTTAATACTAACAGTGAATATCGGAACACAGTCATAGAGAGAATAGTTGATAAGCACAGATATTATAGACATCTGTGTTTATAAGTGAGAAATAGATGCCAATGCACGCTGGTACGCCTCTCGCGCTCAATCTTTTCGATGTAACGAATTACACTGGTCAACAAAAAAAATAATTTTAACTTTTTCCTCTTATAATTTTGCAGTTTTGGGCTTATTTAAGTGTACTAATTTCGAGTACGACAGTAGTTTTTTTTTAACAGCTCTTGTTTTTTAATATTTTTAGACTACCCCCTTTAGACATCACGTGCAATTTTTTTGAGTTTTACTCGACTCAAAATTATTATTTTTTTAACTTTCGATATGTCTTCGACTCGGAGATGTTGTTTACATAATCCAGATAGTTTTTGTTATATTTGTGACGAATACATCTTTCAAAAATATCGATAATCGATATAATTGTAATATCTTATAAATAAAAAAAGTAGAGCTGATACAACTAAACTAGTATTTTTTTCGTAATCAGTGTCTTAGATATAACCTATAATACATGTTAAATGTCAGGAAAAAATTTGAGTGTTGACCAGTGTTATCCATTCGACGCTGAGTTCGGACTGTTGTATTAGTCAAATGTCGCGCATACTAGATGTCACCTGCGTCCTGCGCTCTCTCTCTCTCTCTCTCTCTCTCTCTCTCTCTCTCTCTCTCTTTTTCTCTCTGTCAGAACTTTGCGTTTAAAATTTTCGCGATCAATAGTTTTTTCCTTGTATACATTCAGTATTTAATCATATCTATATAATTATATTATCGCTATTGCGCGAATGAATGCTGGACTTAAGAAGCGCGATAAAAAAAAAGTATCACAATCTTTTTGTCTGCGACAATATTTGTTTCTTATATTCGAGATCTCGTATCGATTCTTTAATCAATTGTTCATTGAAAAAGCTTTTTTTAATAATAATTCAAAGAATAAAAAAATAATTACGGTAGAGAGAGAGAAAGAGAGAGAGAGAGAGAGAAAATATAAAAGAAATACTTATTATAAGTGAATGGGTTAATTCATTCGCTATTATACATTATAACATTTATAATACGATAAAACATACACACAATTATAAATCTTTCAAGGAAGATATAATATCACATGATTATTACAACTTTTGTCATTTTCTTGTTCTAATTGTTTATCTTTTTTGTAGGAATATATCCAATAATCTAGGGTGCGCTCGGGAAAATGTTAGGGATGCTTTGAAGAGTTTCGAGTACGATGGATGTAATATTTGAAAACATTTTAACAGTATAAATGACGTCATTGAAATGTCACGGATATTAGTTTCCAATGTTCCAACCGGAGAGATAGTATGTGAAGCGTTATTTGAATTCTCGTAAAGAGCGGAAAATTGCGTGTATTGCATGCTTAGGAGTATCTTGATAGTATTCTAGTTATCAAATAATTACAAGTTATATAATATATAAAAATATAAATTTCTTATTTTTAATATAATATGTATGATAACATGCAAATTAATAAAAATAGAAACAAATCAATTATAATAAAATTATTATTAATAGTACTATAATAATAATAGTATTATTAATAGTATTATAATAAAATTATTATTAATAGTATTATTAGTAGTATAGTATAATAAAATTATTATTAATAGTTATTAATACTTACATACCAAAATTCGATTTAAAAGATGCACTACTGAGCGATGTTACTATATATTTAACATAATTTTCAATATTGTAAATGTAATTTTTATTATTTTCATCTTGAAAGATTGTAACTATTATATCTTCAGCATCATCATAGATATAATCACTATAGATACAATTAATCTCATAACTTTTTGCCATACACATATTGCAATAATATTTTTATTCATATTAATTATATTTATTATTTACAATATTTATTTATTCAAATTGTTCAATGTTTAATTTAGACTGGCCGATTTGACTAACATTAACAACATTGATAACTCTAATTGGTCATTTCATGGAAGCATTGTGAGAACAAAAACATTTAAAGTATTCGAGAGTGGTAACTCGACTGCATTCCTTATCTCCCATGTGGGCACGCGAGGGACGTGGAAGAGGAAGTGGCGGCAGAGACATCGGCAACTCCAATCTTTGTAAATTTGAAAGGAAACACGTTCGATTCGCTTGAAATTTCTGCGTTTCGATTTTGAGAATTATCTAAAGAAGCGATTACGACCGAATACGGTGGGGGATCTTCATACTTGTCTTCGTCGGATGCTTGATGAGATGTTGATGTTGCTGTTTGCATAGTCACGGACGTGTAAGATGGTGGTAAATCCGCATGCAGGTGAGTCGGGTAAGTTGAATCTATCTGCAAAGATACATGGAAATGGTAGAGATTTGTTAAAAATGTTATACATTTGTAAGACATGTGCATGGCTTGCAAGATATGTATTTCAAAAAATAATTAATTCGACATAGATCATCAAGTACTTGTCTACGATTAATGGCCGTGATACTCGAAACAGTCCGAATCGCTGCTCTTCTTTGCTGCTCGAGTAACATTCTCGCGTGAGTCCTCTTCATTTTGTAGCCGGTGTATCCGCAGAGTAATAAGAAGAGCAGCGTCAGTATCGCCAAAACAATCCACATGTATTCCCATTGCAATAATATCGAAGCTACCATTGCTGCCGTCACCCACGCAACCAGGAGAGTAGCTAGCGTTCGACCAGAACAATCTGCATCCTGAAGAATTTGCATTTTGGATATATTTTTCATGTACTAAAGATTCACTTCGTAAGAGGATACGCGTACTTGTGTGAAATCTATTTTCGTTTTTATTTTTTATATGTTGATTTTTATCTTAATGATATATAAAACTAAATAATCCCGGATCAAAGAATTGCAATCATTCTTACGTACTCGATAAAATACGAGACAAGGATATATATATATTATTTGATAATTATTTTTTATCAGATTAGAAATATCGTATCGATGTGTATTGTATTTTATTTTTTATATTAAATTATTGTTATATTAAATTATTAGCAAAAAAGAAAGACACAATACATACCAAAAGGACGAGAAAAAACATTTCGAATATGATTTGTAGAAAAGTCGTTCTTTCCTGCAATCGTTGTTAATCAATCGGTTTATCTCATCAACGATATACTTATCTATGACGATAAAAAAATGATCAAGCTGATACAAAGTGCCACTTTTCATATTTCGCGTTTGTGTCTTCAAGAATATATTTGTAATAATTCGATGATTTCAGAGCGAACGAAATACTTGATTGATGATGTGATCACATTTTCTCTGAACGGTATTCGTCAGTGAACGTCGGCATTTTCCGCGAAATATTTACATTATTTTATGTCACTTGCGTTGCGTAATAAAAGAATATATATAAAGACATCCAAATCCATGTCAACCCATTGTTTATCCGATAAAAAAATCCGTGTATCGATAAAAAAATCAGGTTTCTAAATGTCAAATTCATGCAAATTGCACAAGCACCTTTAGCAATTTATATGCAATTGCTTTATCAATCAGAAATATTGAAAAATAATTGAAATTAGAATGTAGCGCCAGGATTAATGACCAAGTTTTAAGATCGAAACAGAGAAATAGAGCGATTCGAGAAATTTTCACGTCAGAAAAACACTTGTCACTTGCATATAAAAATTCTGATTGCCACTATCAACGCGATAATGATAAAACGGAAAGATGCTCGGACTTTATTTTTGTACAAAACTGTATCTAGACCAAAAATTATTTATGTAGTCCGTAGCTATCTAGAAAACTCTGTAACGTTAATATCCAAGAATAATACGAAGAACAATATGACTTCCACCACGACGAGACTTTACGACAGCTTTATCGCTTACGCGATAAACGAATAAAATCTCCCACCATCACTCAATGAATTTATCACCTGCCGTGACAGGTAAACGATTATATATATTTTCTTTTGAGTCTATTATCGAAAGGCTATTATATAAAGAAATATATTATTTATTTATTATTACGTATTTATCAATATAAATATTAAAGAACAAGATCAGCAAAAATATGTTGTAATATTTGTAATAATAAATATTTGTAATAGTAAATATACACGATATAAGATTATATAGTTTTAGGATTAATCTTATAAAACGTACCCAACGCCATCTATCTCTTGCCACTTGAAATCTCTCGTATTAATTTGGTTCAATGCAGTTCATATTCCAATCTGTTTTGTGTGACCTGTTTGTGTTATCTCGTCATCTCGGAAGCGTTTATCAAACAACGGTACGTGATAAAGTTTTGTGTAAAATTGGCTAAAATTACTACAGAAAACAAATGAAATGATAAAAAAGTGCAGAATGGGTTGAAAAAAATTCACCAAGAGTAAAGATACTCCGATTCTAAGAGTTAAGAAGAAAAACAATGCTCATTGCTTTTTTTTCATGTAAAAGGCATGATTAATAAAGAATTTGTTCTACAAAGTACAACAATTGATTGAATTTTACAAGACCGTCATAGAAAAATTGCTTGCAAAAATCAATCGCGTATGACCTGAGCTGAAATGGAATGGTGATTGGTTTTTGCTCCACGACACACTCCGGCGCTGCAATTACCTTTAGCGTCTAAAAACGTGTGCTTTATTATTCCTTTTACTCTTCTAATTTAGCCTCTGCTAAATTAGAAGAGCTTGTACTTTATTATTCCCTTTACTCTTCTAATTTAGCCTCGGCTGACTATTATTTTTCTCTAAATTTAAATTAAAGTCGAAAAGAAGCCGATTTGACGATGTAAAACAGATTCAAAGCAATGTTTAAAAATAATTAAACAGAGTCCCGGATTTTCAAAACACCTTATACTGAAGAAGCGCGCCAAGTTTGTGTGGAATTAGAAAGAATATACATATATTGAAAAATAAATATTAATATTAAAGATATAACAACTTTTTTTATTTTTAAAGATAATCCTAAGATAATAAAACTTTATATATATAGTGCGTGTATATATATATATATATATATATATATATATATATATATAATAAAACTGATTTAATTTTTAATTTCTGTTGTATATATACACATATATATATATATATATATATATATATATAACAGAAATTAAAAATTAAATCAGTTTTATCAGCATTTAATAGTGTATTAATCTTATAGTTTATATTAATATTAATATAGTTTTAAGAAAAAATATGTAATTGTTAATTGTAAATTACATATTTTTCTTTCGAAACAACTATCCCAGATAGCACAAGGATATCCATTGTACATCCAGTGAACATCCGCTTGTGGACATTTGGACATCCAAATATAGTCCAAGTAAGATCCGCCGGACATTCTATGGATGTTCATAAGATGTACGTGTGTCACAACTTTGTACGTACACAGAATGTCCGCTATATACCTAATTTTGTACTTATTACAGACTGATTTTGGATATAATTTTTAGTTATAAATTTTAATTAGAAAAACAACAACTAATTAGGTAATTTTTTAAATCTATTTATTTTTTGCGTTAATCATATTTTATTTAGTCTGTACGATTATTCTGTTCTCTCTGCAATTTTTTTTCACTTGCGTCATATCTTTCTTTAGCTCTTCGTAGCCATTTTTGTGTAGACTCTTCCAAATCTTTTCTAGTAAAGGACGCATTGTATGCTTCTCCTGCAGCTGAAACATAAAAATATATGTCGAGCAATAATAAAAATGTTTTTAAATCAATAAGTTTTAGAGATTTTCGCCTTATTATTGCATTTTGAGTTGTACACCATTTCACAAACATTATATTCATTAAAATGACTTGCAAGCTTTCTAATATACGTATATTCTACACTAATATCAGACAGATTATCAGATTTGATGAAGTAAACTATATAATCTTTATAAAACGTCAATAAATAAAGAAGCAAACTCAAAATCTAAAATGGGACAAGAAGACCGTGAAAATTTTTAATTTTTAAATTATTTAGACATTATTAATTACTTACCCATTAACATTTTCGCTAATTTCAATTCATGAAATTTTTTTTTCTGTTTCTTTCCAAACCAACTGTATTTTTTACCCAGGTTATTACTTAAAAGTTGGTTCAAATTTCGTTTTACGAATTCATACGAGTTTTTACCACCAATACGCGATGCTTGTACTACCTGCAATATATTTATGTTAACTTTTATATTATCTTATAATTTTAATTCTTAATTATATATAAGAGTTTTAGGTAAAATGTATACGTGTGTGTGCACGCGTGTGCATATACATGTGCGTATGTATGTGTATGTGTATGTGATTTATTTTGAATACTATTTTAATTTTTTAAGTACCTAAAAGATTACAGTATTCAATATAAAAACAATAGATTACCGATATTTCAAAATTAGTTTGATTTTGTAAATATTGTTCTACTTCTTCTAGTTGTTCTTCCGTTTCTAATGGGAGCGTGAAAGAAGAAAATATTGATTCTTGTCTTTGAATGCCGTTAGTTTGATTTAATCCTGTATTTTTCAAGTCTCGTATGTCTTCGCATGTTTGCCATAATTGCGCCTTGAAGTAATTCTGTTGGCGAATTATTTCTTTAAAATATATTTCTGAAAAAACAATCATTATAAATAATTTTATATAACACATATACACGATGAGCTAAAGATAAAATGTATACCATTTTTATTTTGCATTTCAACGTGTGCTGGACAAACTTTACAAGTACATTTTGTTGAATCAATTAATTGAAAATTATTATTTTCTTTTCCTCGATCAACAAAATTATCTTTGAAATAATCCTTCTGTGTAGCACGCAGCTGTTTGTCTGTAATTTTCCATAGTTTTGTAAAATAATTAGTAGAAATTATTGTGTATTTGTGTGTGCGTGTGCGTGCGTACGTGTGTGTGTGTGTGTGTGTGTGTGCGTGTGATAACATTATTTATACATAATATCGCATCACTTTAATTGTAGTTAACAATTTGTTAATAATTGAATACCTGTTATACAATAGGGTTTTTTTATAATCAGAGACGGACTATTTTGAAAAGCATCTTCAGGGTAGGATTCTGTCATATTATTTCTTGTGTCAGGCGTTACCGCAACTTCTTCACCATCGATTTTATTATTTTTTCTTAACTTGTAATTGTCTATATAAACATTTAAATATTTAAATTATAGAAATTAAAATAACAAAACATAAACATTTGTTTAGAAATGTAAAACATTTGTTTGGAAATAACGAAAAATGCTTGGAAAAAAAGCATATATGTATTGAGTATTTAGTATTTTTTAATATTATAATATCGTAATAGTGCAACGCATGTGGAATGGCAATCATTTAAACTTTTATCTTTTGTACATATATCACTTTGTAATTAACTATTAATTGTTAATAATTGAACATACCATATATATGATTAGGCTTTTTCATAATTAGAGACGGAGTATTTTGAGAAGACTCTTCAGGATAGGATTCTGTAAACGTGTTATTTCCTGCGTCATCTGTAACCTCTTCATCATCAATTTCATTATTTTTCCTTGGCTTGTAATTGTCTATATAAACATTTAAATATTTAAATTATAGAAATTAAATTACAGAACGTAAAACATTTGTTTAGAAATAACGAAAAAATGCTTGGCAAAAAAGCATGTATGTATTGAGTATTTAGTATTTTTTAATATTATAATATCGTAATAGTGCAACGCATGTGGAATGGCAATCATTTAAACTTTTATCTTTTGTACATATATCACTTTGTAATTAACTATTAATTGTTAATAATTGAACATACCATATATACGATTAGACTTTTTCATAATTAGAGACGGACTATTTTGAAAAGATTTTTCAGGATAGGATTCTGTAAACGTGTTATTTCCTGCGTCATCTGTCACCTCTTCATCATTAATTTCATTATTTTTTCTTGGCTTGTAATTGTCTATATAAACATTTAAATATTTAAATTAGAACGTTAAATATTTGTTTGGAAATAATAAAAAATGGAAAAAAAGGATGTATATGTATACATGATATCCCATTATTACAAGTATGCGCGCACAAAATCCTCGAAAAATTAGAATAAACTTCTTTAATAATTTCATGACTATTAAATCAATAATTTGCGAAAATTTAAATATACAAATTTTTTTATTAAAAAGTAAATGTACAAATTTTCTTATTAAAAAGTAAATGTTTTTAATAAAATTATTAATATTTAATAAATTATTATTAATTATATTAATTATTAGTATTTAATAATATTTAAATGAACCTTTTAAAGCAGGAGGCGTTGGCAGCAATCTATAACTGTATTCATCATCTTCTGAAGAAGAAAGTTGTCTTTTTTTAATTATCCTGTTTTTTTGTTCACCAGCTGACATTTCAGAATTTAAATCAGACGTACTTTCGGCTTTTCTACATTTCTCTCTCGCCGTTATGTAATTCTCTAAAAAAAAAAAAATATTCAATTTATATAAATATATAACAACTGAATTGCTTTATAAATACTCATTTTTTATTAATTAAAAAATCCTGAATAACAAGTTCATAAAATATATAATTTCAAGTACCATAAGTGCTATTTCGGAAAATGGTCACTTCATATAAAGGCCAGTCCATATCTGGCTCTTTATTTTTACGAATTGCTTGTATTACTTTATCACGTTGAAAAGGTGGCCAAAAACAATGTTTACTACGAATCCACGAAGATGGTACGGCTTCAACTGAATTCTCGTCAGTAAACTTTACCACAGTCCACGATGGCATTTTTACTAGAAAATTTAACAACAAGAGCAGCATACAAATTGAATAAAAAAGAAAAAGAAAGAGAAAGAGAGAGGAAGGGTAGAGATAGAGAAAAAGAGAAATAGAAAGTACTGCACGC